TGTCATCGTGCAATTTCGTGGGTTTTGTACCAATCCATCAGAACAACAAATCGTCAATTTCATCATCAACCTTCCGACCCCTTGTTGACATCAACAAAACATCGGGCATCTCCACTTTTTTGCACAATTCGCTTCCTAACACATCACACTAGTATAATATCGAAAAAAGTGGAGATGCGAGATGAATCCAAACGGTCAAAATCCACCAAAAAGTATGATGAATTTGATTTCACTACGATGGTAAGCTTTGAGGCACTTGCAGTTATCACCGACTGCAAGAAAATTGATGCACAGCTGACAGTAGTTGTATCTTTACATAAGCTATCCTGTTTCTATGACGTGATCTGGCCTCGTTTTTTTCTTTGGTTCCCAAAATGACCACTGAAGCCCACCATCAACGTCCAAAACGAAGAATTATTATGGTTTTGGGAGCCCACGAAGTCTCAAGGCACCAAGTACTTGAAAATTCCAGCAGAGGTTGCTTCTGGCGTTATAATGGAGGTCTTGGAATCATCTGGTGGTCGATATCAAGGTTTCATTGTGCATATTCTCCATCGAGTTCATCAAGTGGCAAAATTCGTCAAAAACACATCTATGTCATGGCATGGGCCCCACAAGAAGAATAGGTGGATTCAGATGCTACGGCAGGCACTTTTGATATTTATACTACGCCATGAGCCATGATTCAATTTAGGTTTTACCCCAATCATGCCACAATCAACAAGCGTTGTTAGAATTGTTTCGGTCAGCCTGCCCTTTGGGGTCCACAGAGGGCCACACATGCAGAGATCGCCGAGCTTCAAGGTATATTATGGTATATTGGTATCTGATACAACGACAGAGCATTATTGGTTCACTTTCTTTGTTTAATTTGGAAAGATTTTGCGATTTCCTTCCTTTGTTCTGTCGGTTCTCTGCCGCTCTGGAGGTCCCCCTGGCCGCCATTTAGACAGCTATCCATCCAACAACACACCAGGGTCTTTCTTGGATGCCTAAAGTTTAGATTTTTTGGGACCAAGGCAATGATTCCTCCTAGATCAAGAATCATGTGGCCAAACTGGTGTCAAAAAAATGTAAGTTTGTTGAAATTTCTGGAATCGTCGAATTGTTGACCTAATTTCCTCAATCTTCTTTATTCTGGCCCATTTTATTAGTCCATGGGTATATTTAACAAGGTTTGGCACCTTGGAATGGGAGATTTCAAGGTGGAAGTGATTGAGCTGTAGCTACTTGACCTGGGGGGTCAATTCGGCATTCAATCCAGAATTTCCCAGGAATGTGTCCCAGTCGCCGTGTCGGTAACCAGACACGGTAGGACCACTACAAAAGTGACCAATATACCTATATGTATCGACTTTGGGTGTTTTTTTTCAATGGTGCGGCAGAAATGAGATTTGTTGGTCTGGTTTTCTGTTGACCCGTCCCAACATTGCAGGAGCCCTGATTGAATGATTCGAAATTCCATGTATTCTAGACCGAAATTTGCAACTTTTGTTGCGTATACCACTAGTCTATGTAGATTAGGCAATAATACATATTAAAATATCAAGATTTGTAACCAAGACCAGGTCTTATCGTAAAGATGGAGGCCTTGTAGTATAATTTCGGTTGGATGTGTAGTCGATTAAGTCAAACTGGTATCCGACTCGATCGATCATAGCGTTCTCTACCACGGCTACGGATTTTCCGCGATATCCAGTCTGATCTTGGTTTGGACTGTATGGTGCAAATGAGAGAGCCCCCAAACTACGGGTGCGATTGCTTTCCAGGAAAGCGGAAGACAAAGGCCACAAACATGCAAGCGCAGGCGCGTGGGAAAATTTAACAGAACATCCGCCAGTCACGGAAAGACGAGTCTTGTGAAAAAACCAACTTTCGACCTTAGCCCATTTTTAATATATGACCATTTTCATCATAACAACCAATCAGAAGTCTTCCTATGACCCTTTGGGCCCACTGTATAGGGTCAATTGCTTGGTATGTACCTAGGTTCGATCAGTGGCACAAGAATAGGCTATTGGTAGCACTTGGATGCTAAAAAGTGACTTTTGTGCCATTTTGTTTGGTCTTATTAGAGGACGGCAATGGGGATTGGTGAGCTACAAACCTGCGGCTAGCTCAAAAGTGTCCTATTGTTGATATAGATGGGCTGTGGGGACTTTCAAACTAGGCTAGAGGGGCATGCCAAATCGAGCAGATGCAATTTATTTTCAATGAAATGTTGATCCTGCATCCAACACAAAACACCTCCTTCTAGTATTGCAAGTGGAATGATAGTTATCAACATTATAAGTTCGTCCTCTATTAGTTAGTAGTACCGACGGTAGTGTTGCTGAAGAGATTGTACAAAGACATGGAAGGTATCAGCATGCATCTGCATCGTGCCTTTTTCTTGAACTCTGAGGCCAAAATTCTCCATTGATGCAAATCTGACCTCCTGTATTGCTTCCACCTATGGACACAAATCTATTTGGTCTGATAGTCTCTATACGAGCATAAGACATCATCATCACCTATCTTGTTGCCATGATAATTGTTCTTCAATAAGACACAGACAAAAATGGTATGAAATTTTATTTTATTGCTCCCAAACAAAGCCACCTCTGTTCGAGTTGGCATGCTCCTCTAACCTAGTTTGAAAGTCCCCACAGCCCGTCTATATCACCAATAGGACACTTTTGAGCTAGCCGCAGGTTTGTAGCTCACCAATCCCCATTGCCGTCGTCTAATACGACCAAACAAAATGGCACAAAAGTCACTTTTTAGCATCCAAGTGCTACCAATAGCCTATTCTTGTGCCACTGATCGAACCTAGGTACATACCAAGCAATCGACCCTATACAGTGGGCCCAAAGGGTCATAGGAAGACTTCTGATTGGTTGTTATGATGAAAATGGTCATACATTAAAAATGGGCTAAGGTCGAAAGTTGGTGTTTTCACCATTTCTCCAACTTTCATTTCGCCTTGACTGGCGGATGTTCTGTTTAAAAAAAAAGGCAAAAAGTACAAAAAGAAAAGAAAAAAGAAACAAAAAAGAAAAGAAAAAGAAAGTTCCAAGGATCAAAAGCTGGTATATCCAATTTTCAAACGGACAAGTCAAATGGATAGACAAGTTCATTCCAATGAATATCATGGATGCAACATATGAAGCTACTTCAGGTGCTGAAGTTGCTGACAAGCAACAACATCTAACTGAAGATCAGTGCAAACTTTTGGCTCAAGCGTTGAAGAATACAGACGAGATTTTCGATGGTCAACTCGGCCATTACAAGCATGAGAAGGTTCACTTGGAGCTCATTGAGAATGCGCAACCCGTGTTTTCAAAAGCGTATTCTCTGCTGAAACAACATGAACCTGCATTTCTCAAAGAATTGAAACATCTACAAGAAATTGGAGTTTTTGAAGGAACAGGCCCGTCGGAATGGGTGTCAGATAATCAACTCCGTAGCTGTAATGAGAGCCTCAACGCTCTAGCTACCTCTGGAGTATACTGAGCTCAAATCTACGTCGGCTATGGATTGCCTACAATAGGAACAGGTGCCAGTGATGCTGGGCTTCAACCTGCGGATGAACAGTCTCACCACTTCCTATTAGATCTTATTCTACTGCTATTCTTGCC